TATCTCATCTTTTTTGACCGTCCTATTTTCTGTCTTGAAAAAATTTAGTGAAACGGATGAAGAAATGGAGGGCGAGGAGGGTTGTAAGGAAAATGTCAGGGGAGGAAAAAGGTAATTCATTGTTTGATTTGGTACTCATGTCTCAATGACTTTTACGACTGGCTGCCATAATGAGTAATGTTGTTTCTCCATTTCAAGACCACAGGATGAAGCAAGAACTGGTGATCAAGCTCCTACCAAAAAACAGCGAAAGTGTGGAGACGGAAACACAAATGAGGCGATGTTGAAGGTATTACAAGGTTCCACGCAAAATGTTACGCTTTAACTTCTTCTTCTTGTCTAGAAGCAATCAGATCTAATTTGGGAGCTGCGCAGAGACTTAAGAGATAATCTAAGCAAAAGCGAAATGATAGAACTGCTAACAGAAAATGGTCAACAGCCTCCAAAGGGTGATAAGGTATGCTTTACTGTTTTTTATTTATACGCGAGTTTTCGAAATTTTCTTGAGATGTTGGACCATCTGGTTGATTGCATGGTTTTCGGCAGCTGTTTACCGTGTCCAGAATGTGGAGGACAACTCAGCTACAGGTCACGATTACTTTATCTTTAGGGTCCAAGTACAGCATATCGTTGAATAGAAGGAGTTGTTGGGAATGTACGAACCACACTTTTTAACGGATTATGTTTCACAATTTTCTTATGGCTTAAAATTACAGACAAAGCATTGCAGGCAGCGGGCTTGACAGCTTAGGGTGACCTGGTCTAAGCGATCTCTGTTGAACTTTACCAAAATTACTAAATGTGAGAAATGGATGTTGCCATTTTGCTGCAGTTTCTCAATAAGTTATATTAGTATGAGACGGTGCGAGAAGTCGTAATAGAAGTATGAATCAGACCGAATAATCTTCAAAAGGTCGAAATGGATAATTTATTCGTTCGTCCGTTTTCAACATGACTTCATACAACGCAAAATAACAAATTAGTGAGATAATCCAAGGAGATAGTGTTATCGAGGAGATTCTTTCCTTCTAGGTTCTAGCAAATAGTGAGGTCAGTATGTTAATTGGAAGAAGATTAGTCCACTATCCTGACAGATTTAATGTCTTTACCCCTTTCTAAATTTAGATCCTTTTCTCAGGAGAGATGAGGAGTTCTCATTTGATGATATTATAGGAGTGACCTAATCCACGTTTATTCTCTTTCCCTGCGGAAGTGGCGAATGGAGAGAGAGAAGAGTGAATGATAAATTGCAAAACGTGAAAATTTGGTTGGTTAAAAGTATTTGGGACGTATATTACTGTGGAGAAAATGATGCCGTGCAACAGTCGCGCTCTTCCGTAATTAGCCGAAGCCATTTCTTTTTCGCTGTTTAATTTGTCACTTTAGATTGACATTAGCCTCTTGGAGATTAACAGACAGAGATTGCTGTTAAAGTCTTGCTGAGTACTCATCTTATACATTTTAAATCATGAGTGGAGTTGTGTCAAAAAAGCATGATATCAATGCTTCAAAATGTGTTCTATTTATCATTTGTTACACTTGGTATTGTTCTTCTTTTAAATAGTCTTTTACTTCGCAGTTTGCATATATCCTCAAATTTCTTATCATGTTGATTTTTTAATGGTGTTACAGCTCGACTTCAAAAAGCTATAAATGTGGTGGACAGCTTTCCGAATACACAAAATGCCTTCACTACAACATTAATCCTCAGCGCAAAAAGTTTGTCATCCCTAATGAACTGAAGAAGAAAAATGCATACCTGAAGAGTCTCAAAGTGAATGTCAGTTATAGCATCTTTTATCTTTTTGAAAACGAAGACTGCTATATAGTCGCCCTTTCTGCCTGTTACACATATTCATATCTTGGTTTTTCAGGTTCTTACGAAGCGAGTTTATAACGACGCTTTAGCGAATGAGAAAGTTGTTAGGTGAGCTTGTTTTGCGCAGAATTGCCAAGGAAAGTGCATTACAGTAATGCTTTCTTGTCAAACGATTGAATGTTTTGACAGTTCTAGGGAATTTAGATTTATTTTTGTTGAGGCTAATGTTTAGTCATTCCGATCAGTTCAAATATCTCGGATCACGTGGGATGAAAACCAATGAAATAAAAAAAGATGCTGAAGGAAAAAGTTTAGGAGGTAATATAAGGGTGATTGCCTGATTTCATGATTTACGAACCAGCATATAGCTTTGTTAAAGTGAAATATTCAGTGGGTTCGGGATTGTCGCAACAGGTGGTCAAGGCAGGTACCGTTGTAGACCAAGAATGTGAATACGCGGATGTTTCACATGTTCATCGCGGAAGAAATGGTGCTTAGCCGTTGCTTGAAAGTTTTTGTACCATTCCATCTATATTTTCGTCTTCTTTTAGCTCTAAAATTTGGTGCACTTTGGTTGTCATTTCATCACAATTAGTATTACAGGAGTTTTGTATTCTGTAGTTTTGGGGAGTGCTGATACCCTGTCTAACAGAAACTCCTATTACAAAATACAGCTTCTAAAACATGATGAGAAACTGAAGTGCGTTTCTTTCTCATTTATTCTTTCATTCTTTCAAATCGAAAATTATGTTCAGGTTTTACCTGTTTCGTTCGTGGGGACGTGTCGGGACTCTCATTGGTGGTACAAAAACCGAAGTTTTTTGCAGTGAAGTTCAAGCCATGGAGGCATTCCATCAGTAAATCAACTAAATAAATAAATAGTATATATATATATATATATATATATATGACACGTCAACTGAAAATC